AATAATCATTTGTTTGATAATAATAAAAAGTGTATCCGATAAGTGATTTTCCAACGTTAAAGCATGCAACGAACATATGTAGTTTTATATGTCATACCCAGATGTCTGCTAGTTCCGAATATTGACTATTCATACTTGATATTTTACGTAAATATAATTAGTCTGAAGATTTTCTCAACTGAATATTTGGTGCGATTCTGATAAGAGATTATGTTCAACAAGGTCCCATTGTGTCATGCTGCGTGGCGTTAAAAATACTGTATGCGGCTATGTACAACGTAGTAAAATGTTATTTATTGTACAACAGGAATTAAAGTTTACTATTAACCTGCAGCGGATGAACTCTTACCGTACATACAGCGAACTTTCTTTTCGAGAATAATAGAAATGCATACGAGAAGAACTAAGTTTTATTTAAGACTTTATATTTTTATATTGTGAATTGTGAATTGCTATTCTTGAATTGAAATAAGTACAAAGGCAATCATTGTGCTTCGAATATTCTGAGAGCGAGCTCTTATCATTAGACCGGGAAAATAGAGACCGACGTGCTAGTTGCCAAGTTGCAACTTTCTTTGCAAAGTGGAATCCGAGATCAAAAAACGTTCGGACTGATTTCTATCGATTACAAACTGATTACAAGCAACAGGAAGTTTCGCGTGGTTTAAGGTATCAGACGTTCATTTGGCGAAGATTTGCATCAATATGGATACAGTAAACAGCGGATTAACGAACTTATTTATACGAGTTATTCAGCCGTATGCAAGACTGTAAGGAACTTTAGGATATGGAACGGTGTAGACAACCCCTTTAGAGATGCTTTCGGTCGTAAAAAGACAGTGACGTGATGTTTTTTTTTTTTATGCTTCCTTATTTTCATAAGCTTTAATGTATGTGGGATTACAGTCAGTGTGAAAGCCCCTCCAAGTTTAAAGCTCTATGAATAGACTGCAATAATTACTGTCGTGTCGACTATCATGGGAGAGCAGATAATAATCGGCACTAGGAATTAGCTATCCGCGGCTTCTCCTAACAATAGTCAAGTCTCGGGATACAGTTAGTGACCTTCAAACACTAAGGCTTTTACACTTATGGCTCACTATGTCGATGAGCGACACCAATCCTAGATAAATTAATTGTCCTCAAGTCACTTTCTCGGTTACTATCGTGGGATTAATTCGATAGCCTCACACTAGTATTGTTGTATGTCAATTTGGAATAATAAGGTAAACAAGGGTAATTTGGAAAAGTTAAAGTTTCTACTAAGTGAAAATTTTATTAACCGTTTATAACTTTCGATATTTGGCGAATTCGGATCTATTACAAAAAAATTCTGTTATATTCTATACTGTCTATTTTATTGCTCTGATGAAGTTAAACCGTTGAAAAAATTTGTCCAGAGTCTATGAAACAAATAAGAAAAAAAAGATATTCTTGTTGCTCTTCTTTATAAATATGTGTGTACGTTGGTCTGACTTAGTATCAGGACATGTGCACGTTTACGTTATGCAAATAGATCGTTATGAAATTGGATGACAGAAAGCAAGGCTCCGACTTACTTTGTTTAGGAGTACTAGATGCAGGCAATTCAATTACCTTGAAGGTCGATTTGATCAATACGCATAATCCGATAAAAGCGGGATTTTTTGTAGTTATTGTTATGTGCATACTAATAAAAGACACGGACTGAATACGAGTTAGATTTTAGTTCGTAACCTGTTAGCCGAGACATAAACTTGTTTTATATCCAAAACTAGAGCTTGCACTCAAGAAAATTTTTTTAAACTATTAACATAGAACGGTGCTTAGTGGCGCTATTCTTATTGAAAAAGCCCGAAAACTTGCTAACGAATTAAAGATGCATTACAGTATGGTTTCAGAAGTTCAAAGATCGCCATTGTTAAGAGAACGTTATCCAATTACTCTGCTGACAGAATATACAACATGGACGAAACAGGTCTTTTATAGTTATTAATTCAACTTACCAATAAAATAAGTTGTAACAAATTACCATTACTTGTTCATAATTAAATATGTTTTACTTTATGGGTTAGAACCGACTGAACGTTAGCATCCAGACATCTTGCTGGTCGTAAATTAAATACAGACGTCGTATGCGCAAATTCGCACAAATTGGATCCTCTTATTATTGGCAAATATCGAAAGCCACACTGTTTTAAAATATAAATATCATCAATATATCGGCATTCAAAATTCGATCTTCAAGTTGTTAAAGCATCAAGGTCAACGAGTGTTAGATAACTGTTCCATATCTTACAATACAATGATGCCACTACCTCGAGAATCCAGCAGCCAATGGACGCAGGGATTATACACAGTGTTGTCGTATGTTTTAGGCCTCAAAGGCTAAAAAAAAGACCTGATGCTGCTGCATGTGGAATCAGAGAAACGCGTGGATGACTTGGGCATGAATGTCTTAGACGACTCAATTTATCGTTCTGCTGTTAATTGCTGTCACACAAAATCAGCACAGCTACGAAGACTCCATACTCGATGATCTTACGAATGTACTTCAAGCACTTCAACTGTCGAACGCAATGCCGGTAGAAGAATTTGTTAACATTCATGAAAAGAAAGTATTTATGAAGTTTCTGTATATCTCTTTAAGGATGTTAATCAAGAAACATTAGACTTAGAAGATAGTCAGGAAAATCCTGCTATCAATGCAAATACAGCGATTACTAGTTTGGAAACTCTGCATGCAACAGGACAGTGCAGAGAAATAGTTAACCTTATACAGAATATTGAAGTCAAATTTAATGCGTCAAATTAATGTTAACACATAGGTAACACTACAGTAGCGGTCATAAGTATCCTACCGTCGACAGGAATGAGTAAACGCTTTGAAAATTTCTCTGCATATAGTGTACCATAAACCCTGATCTGTGAGATTTCGATCAGATGTCTCTAACAAAATTTCCAAACACCAAATACTTTACCTTTAGATATATTGCAATTTTGGTCATAAGAATTCAAAAATTCAAACACTTTCCAAACCAAAAAAAATTTTTTATTACCATTAGAATGCGTTCATAAATTATTGTTGATTAATAGCATGCGCGCTTACTACCAAGTATAATAACGAATTTTTTTCTAATTCGACCATACTCCAAAGGACACATAGAGACAAGTCTGGTGTATAAAACAAAAAAAAAAAGATATGTTGGCAGCGGTAGGATACTTATGGCCGCTACAGCGAGTCAAGAATGACAATATTTACTTTATGCTGTCCCCAAGTGCTACAATTTTAATGGGTAAGATATAAAAGTAATAAAAATGAATTACGAGAGCAACAAACTTTAGCAGGAGACGATGTGTTTTCCGGCATCAACAGAAAACATTTTAGCAAAGAACAAATTTAATCTAAAATGCTTTTTCACTGTTGATTGGACTCCCGCACTATCCGGTTTAATTATTTGTCCTCCACACCCACGTTTACTAATAAAAGCTTCAGAACGTCACTAATAAAAATATCGGAACATGACAGACCTACGCCTATCGATAAAATGGATGTGACCGGTGGTATATATAGCAAACAGCAGTCCCATCAAAATCGGTATTGTAAACAAGACTTATTATTTTTTTATGTTTGTCTCTATGGTTGTATATAATTTTAGTATATTTGTCACTATTCGGACGCCGTACATGATGCAATTTAATGTCGTCGCATTCATTGTCAACAAGCCATTGTCTTGGTATATTTTATTGGAGACATCAATCGCTATAGCGACGAGCATAACGATGGTAAGGACGATTACATTGACATTAAGCTCCCATTTTCAAAGCAGAAATATATTGACGGAACCACTGATACAACGTTAGAAAGTCCATTACTGCATGGCGGAGGAGAGAATAAACCAGACCACCCTTATTTGGAAGGATAGTATTATTATCGTGGCTGATGTTGTACAAATCACGATCGAGTCTATAAAAGACTCACCAATTCAGAACTCGAAGACGCCTGCCACTTGTCGAAGATACGCCAACTCAAAGACATACTTCTCCAGTTGTCTTAATGATCGGCATTTATTTCAGCAAACAGACTCATATTGCGCGTAATGAAAACAATACCGCGTCGCGTGAAGAGAACAAATGTTGCGCCGCGTGAAGAGAACAATAATGGTAGTTTGACTCACAACATTAGTCGTTTATTCTTATCAAGTGAAATCTGTTAACTTCTAGCACTCATACTTTAGAACAAACCCAGGCGCCAACCCCTCCACTGTCGGCAGAACTACAAAAGACACTTAATAACTTGGATAGAAAACAACGGAAAGTGTATAACGCAATGCCTACTCATGAGTTGAGAGTTGGATTTCTAGAAGCGATCTTGGACGAAAAGAAGAAAGGGGTATGTACTGTATAGAGTTTGATGCTTTTGTTGTGTCAAGATTTTACACTAACATTGTATCAGTGGTTTTTCGTCAATATATTTCTGCTTTGAAAATAGGAGCTTAACGTCAATGTAATCGTCCTTACCATCGTTATGCTCGTCGCTGTAGAGCGCTGGCATAAAGGACAACGACCAACACGTCCTATGCCAAAAGATCGAACAAAACTGTTTTTCTGAAATAATGGTTATGTAGACATACTCCGGAGAAATTGAAGACTTGTTAGGGGATGAATGGCGGTAACCTTCAAAGCAGCGTCTCCATAAAAAGTCGAGTTATTCCGATGAATCTAGATCGCTCCCAATTTATGGTACGTCCGTCGTCAACAGGACAATGACCCAAAACATACTAGCCGTCTCGATAATGACTCGTTGACTATGTTATACGCAACAACTCTAAATTGTAACAAATATACTAAAATTATATACCACCCATAGAGACGAACGTAAGAAAATAAAACGGCTCATTATGATGCCATTCTTTTTGACGTTTATACTTACTACCATCATTCAACCATTGTAAAAATATTTCCTGTGGCGGGAGGTGAGATGTTTGGAGTAGTAGTGACGGAAGTAGCAGCGGAAGCAGTCCATACTCACAGAATCAACAACGCATAATTCCTCTCGTCTCCTACACAACCATTCAGCAAAAAATCCTCATCCAATGCCACATCAAGGACCAATATCGCACGAACGACTGGAGATTGTCTGCTCTGATCAATTCTTGATTAAGAGGTGCCATAATAATCTCCATCATGTCATAATCCTCCCTCTTGACGGCCCGCTGTTGTCAACTACAGTATATTGTAGGATGTGGTGGTACAGATTTTAACGGTCTAAACACCTTATTTCTGTTTAGAAATAACTCTGGTTGTCGTATGAATTTATATAATAATAGAAATAATTCATGCCACAAGTCTTGGTGGGACTGGTGGTTGCCATATTCGTAGTACCACCGGTAACATCAGAAAACACGGTAGGAACTTTTGGCATGAACCTATCTTTAGATAGAGCTAAAATGAGCTTCAACATGTATTAGTATATGTAGTTCAGCAATAAAGTTGTACTTATTGAACTTTTGGCGTGAAAGAAATTTATGCTTGGTAGAAAAACACAAGGGTTAGGGTTATTGTTCAGTACATTTAGATGTTATACCAGCTTGCCGCTAATATCACATGAGACCAATCAGATTCTTCCTTCTCTAATATAAAAAAAAATAAACGCTAGATTGTCACAAGCACCACCACCACTGATCTTTAAAATGGATGTTTCCACACAATTGGAAGTTAAACAGTAAGTCGTTTAGGTTATGCGTTCCTCCTCACGTTATATTGAATCATTCATTTATCGCAAAACTTCCAGACAAAGCTTGACGGTTGAAAAAGCAGTCCCCTTAGAATTTGACTTAGCATTGCTCGCAGGGTTTGATATAAACACTTTGGACGAAGAACGATTAAGGTTGATTACATATGCTCGACGTTATATTTAACAGAGATGGACAGCATTTAATCTCTTTCATTTTTGTAGGCAGAATACCGACAAATATTTAAAAGAATGCTCAAGAAACGGAACACAATTGATAATAAATGAAATATTTAAATTACCGACCAATTCAACGGAAGATGGCACTTTTGCAGAACTGCCAGACCAAATTACAAAAATACCCCGAGAGAAACCGGTATGAAACCCAATAAGTGTTATTGACGTTCAAATCAGTTTGTTTTCAAGATTTTCGTAACCCTTTCGCCATTCTATTTGTTAATTCATGTTTGACAAATTAACTAGCTAGATAGTTATTTGAACTTTCCCTTCCTCTTTTTTGATTCAACATTTATTAGACAGTTACTTATACGTTTGCTCAATCATGATCCAGGTTCCGAAACCGAAACCATTGACAAGATGGGAGAAATTTGCCAAACTTAAAGGCATACAGAATCGCAAGCAGTCACGTAAAGTCTTTGATGAGGCCACTGGTGAATGGGTGCCCCGATGGGGATATAAGGGCGCGAACGATGATGGGACAAACGATTGGTTGATACCCGTTCCTCAGAATGCCGGTATAGTAAAAGAAAAAAAACTTTTTTTTTCTCCTTCCTTTCAGACGTTCATTGTCTTAAATTGAATTCCGCTATGAAACACTAAATAACTTTAAATGTTCCTTTCCTAGATCCTTACGAAAATCAATTTACGAAGAGGAGAGTAGAGAAGAAAGAAAGGATTCGGAAGAACGCAACTAGACATACGAGAAACCTGGAGGAAGGTGCAAGAGGTGCCGACCAAAAATCGGCGAAGGAAGAATTAATGAAAAAGATATCGATAAGTAAATCTGCAACAGCAAGCATCGGAAGATTTGATAAACCATTAAAAGGAGAACCTAAAATAAAGGGCGTGAAACGAAAGGTGGGGTTTGTCAGTTTCTTATAAAAGTCCAATAAGGATGAGGAAGCTAAAACTACATCACTATTCCTTTCTATAGTTTGATCCGCTGATCTCAGATATGAATAAGGAAAAAGAAGCAAATCTGAATATCGTTAATGGACTTTTTGGCAAGAAGGATAAATCAGATATAATAAATGCGCGCAAGGCACGTAACATGGCATAAGTAATTTGACATACGCTCGACATTGAGTTTCACTATACTCGACGTTTCCAAACTTCCACACCGTGACGCTAGTCTATTGTGTTTTGTTGGGCTTGTTGTGGGAAGAGGTATCAAAAAATTGATGTTTGTGTTTGGATGAGTATAAGGGAAGACCAATTATGTCTGATTTATTAGCTAATTATAAACTGCAGACAACTCAACTATAATTGAAATGGAGAGACCAATGCACCCCCTTGATTTTTTACAAATAAAACGTTTCTTGATGTTTAGGATCAATATGTATGCTACCCCGATACAGCTATGCATTTTACGAAATATTGATAATAAAAAAAAAGAGACTATTACCAGTAACAATTGTTATCACGCTAATACCTTGTTTGATGGCTTACGAAAGGAGATTTGCTGAAAAAATTCAATATGCAATTTTCTCCCTTTTTTTATTACAAGCTCACGTCTACCACTACCTCCAGGACTCAGTCAATAACTTCAGAACTAAAAAAAAAAAAACCAACAATTTGGCAAGTCTGGCCATATGCTTAGAATAATTATTTCTGTGCTTCCATCGACACATCAAAACCATCGTCAAGGAGGGAAGCTGCACGGAACGTGAAAGAATATAATTGAATAATGAACGGCAACAGTAAGGTGCAAGCGTGAGATGTTGTAACGCAGTGTAAAGTAGCACTACATACCTTCCGGATATAAGCAGCAAGAGTTCCTCGGGCGATTAAGCTCTAACATCGGGCTTCCCATTTAACCATTTAACAGGTCATAGTCATCACCATAATTGGCAATCCAAATCCGCTAATCTACATCAGTATGCGCGCTGTGACTTTCGAGCGCTAGGAAAACACGGAAAAGGTTTTGCATGTTGAATTGGTCCTTTTTTGATAATGTAGCGCGTCAAACTGTGACTTGCAAAAGTAGAATGTATATTTCACTGGCACAGGCCACGTTATGGTATTAGAGTACATTATATTTCAGGCTACTTAAGCGAGATGCTATTTTGGCACGCGAATCGTTTTATATAGGTTTGCAAGATTTGAAACGGGCCAAGAGATATTACTGCTCTGATGCCACGCTATCGTTTGTTCACGTGTCAACAAACCAAATAAATTTAAGCGAATAGATGTTATAATAATAATCTATGGGACTAGACAACGCCAGCATTGATATTCTTACAACTTCTGCGATGGTCCTTCTATACGAAGTTAATGCAAAACATTTTGTCCGTCACGTTATTGATTAGACAGTTAATCAATTACTTCTAATAAACGTTCTGTCTACAATATTCTAAGGATTACCTTCTTATTTTACGTGGCAAAGTTACTGCCTTGATTTTTTTGCCCGCCAGACTGAGAGGTTTTTTTACTTTATTCCGGTTGCTCGCCGTTCTTAAAAGGAGAAACAATTGCAAAGAAAAATTATACTACGTAATAGCTAGTTAAAGTATTATGTCTCAATTTTCTTGCACTATAGGAGTGCTTGTCTCGAATGGCTATAAGAAAGCAAGACCGACCTTAGCCAAGAAAAATAAACTTATAGGACTATTCAGGTACCAAAAGTGTTGGCCCCCTCACTCTGCAAAACTGTAAAAACTTCACACTGGAACTTATTGTTATGTACTGAAAGAGGAATTGTAGCATGTATACCATTATGAGTTGCCTTAACTCTTGACTTATAATTATAATAGGTTCCCATCCAGGTTTATTAAGCAAAGGATTGCCTAATACAATAAATTTGTAATCTCCATTTCTTATTTATTTTTCAGCCATAATAATAATTATTACTATTGGAATATTAATATTCTCATTTGCCATGATAATATTTATCCCATTATTAATAGAAAAAAGTATAGAATATAATGTTCTTAAAACGCTAGCCTTACTAATAGGAGTTTATATAAGAATGATATCATAGATGTTGCAAGATTTCATAAATCCAGTTTGAGAAAGAATAGAAGAAGGGAGCTAATGTCAGTATTAGAGTGTGATAGGACGAAGATTAAGAGAGAAGTACACTCACCTGATAAAATTATTATTATTGCCGGATCTGCAAAATTTACTATTAAACATATGAAATTCGATTTTTTCATATTTCGGAGCCAATTGATCGTATTTTATGAAAAGTGACAGAATTTTTGTTCATTTCGTGGTTATGAAGTCGCGATCATATATCTGTATGATTTGTATTGTTATCAACATTGTACTGTAACTTCACAACTAAGATATTTATGTCTTATTTCAATCCAAAAAATGTGGGCGAATTTCATATGTTTAATAGTATAATTTGCAGATCCGGCAATAATTTTGCTGCG